CCCACTAATGGGGCCGCCCCTCCCTTGGCGGGCTATCCTGCGAGGCTCTACTGTGCCTGTTTTTCCACGGTTTTCGTTCATTAGTTTTCCGCCAGCCCGGTGTTTGCTCACCTCTTTCGAACGAAACTGCACAAATGAGGTCCTCCAAAATTGGCCGCTTTCAAATGCCCAAAAAGGATTAAAGGGGTAAACCAACACTCAATGGCAACTAAATGCGAAACGAGTGATTTAAAATCACTCGAAAAGGTGACTTAAAGTTTAAGCAAATATTTAACTTTAAGAACATATAAAAAAAAACTAGTTTGATGTATAGCAAATATTGATTTATGTTTATGTGAGTCAGAATCAATTGTATTCCAACCTAATTTTTTTTGAAACTTATAAGTAATTTACACATCTGTACATTTTAATTGACTTTAGTTTAAAGAGATTTCTGTGGCATCCTCGGTAAACAGTTTGATTTTAATATTTTACTCTCGTCAATAATAATATATATACAATATATTCTAATTATCAACTCAACTTAAAAGAATCAAAGGTGATTTCAACTTCAAATTGTACACATTTCTGTGCAAATTTATTAAATGAAATAATGTATTTTGATTTTAAATCAGTGAAAGGAACTTTGAACTGCAACCGAACCTTCTTCCAACCGAAGAAAACATATCAAGGGGTTAACCATCACTGGGGGCCCATATCCCATCGATTCTGGGCAAATTCAAAGGGCTCAGCTCGCAATCCGATTGCAGATCCAGTTCTAACAGCGATTCTGCTCTTCCGTTTTTGGCCCGGTGCTAAATGGGATTTTATTTGGGCAACGCTGCATAATAGATGATATGATATAATATGATTTGCCTACACAAAACGAAAATCAAGCTGCTGCCGCTCGACAATCAACTTGTCCATAATACATGAGTTTTTCGGGGAGTGTGGGACGGCTGGTGTCGGCAATCAGTCAAATGTAATAATAAATAAATAAATAAATCAGGAGCAGGCACATAAACAACGGAGCTCGCTGTTAATGGCAACACAAAAGGAGCAGTCCGGATTAGAAATCACAAATGGAAAATCAAAAATAAAAATGCCAGGCTCGACATTGTGTTTCATTTGTATTTTTCTTTTTTTCAGGTCTCTGCTCTCTGATCCCCGGACAACTCTTTTTAGGGATTGGGAATGGCAAATTAATATTTATCGCAAGCCAAACTCGAGCAGCTGCCAAAAGGGGGTATTAAAATTAAAAACCATATTTACTTTAAGCTAAAGAAGTGTACTGATAAGTAATAATATGTCATAATAATATAAGCTTGACTGCATTTTCAAACAAACTTTAATGGCTGAAAAACACATCTAAAGGATTTTTGTGTTGATACTCAGACAAATTATGTTTTATTTATGTTTTGCGGCACTCGATTGGAATTCAACAAGGTATGACATTTTATATTTTGATCCGAATTTTGTATGATTACGTTGAAAATCCCAAATTCGCTAGTGTATTTTGCCTTTTTTATTTATTAAAAATAATTTCAAAAATTAAATAATAGGACACAAAACTAAGTATGCAGTTGTGCTTAGAACAGTCTACATTAACATAATTTAATAATAATAGGCCTGTGTTTTTTAAAAAGTTCAAGAAATTCGCAATGCATTGCTTCACAATTAATACAAAATAACTAAAATATTTGTATAAAATATGAAAAGAACAAGCACACATCAATAATTCGATGACTTTACAGCGAAGGACCTTCGCGTTTGGTGTTCCCGAAATCAAACCCTCGGAAAAAGTGACTTTTGCCCCGGGCAGTCGGGTTCGAAGGTCCTGGGGCCATTAGCAAAATCAACAGCCACACTCAGCCAGCCATTCACTCATGCACCCATTCAGCATTCAGCATTCAGGCGGTGAATAAGGACACTCGCAGTTGCATTCACACTCACACTTATACTCATTGGGCACTCTGTCCCACTTACACTCGCACTTAGGGGCCATCGCCCCTCTCTTTCGCTCCGCGTGAGGCCGTCTCTTTCTGCAGGACTCGCTGCGGCGCCGTCGATGTGGAAAATGTTACGCTACAATTTAATTGAAAGGATAATCAGGCGCACAGCGGACGAGCGTTATGTGAGGAGCGCACTCATTCGAACGAAAAAAAAAAACCAAGAAGTGCGAGCGAGAGGTGGCTAGCGGGACAGAACGACGGGCATTAGAAAGAGACAGGGCGATAAGCACGGACAAAAGGCAGCGCTAAAAGCTGCAAATGAATGAATGAGGCGAATAGAAATAAAATAGCAAACGGTGGCAGCACAACATCGGCTTTTGTTGTACCCGTCAAGTGTCCTTTTTGATGACGACGACACACAGCAAGGCGACGACTCGGAGGACGAACAAGGACACTGTGAGAAAACACGGGGAAGTTCGGCAGGACATTAGGTATTTTATATGGCTTAAGTTTCAGACATATATCTGGTGTGTTAAAGTCACTGTCAAGGAATTTCGTTTTGATAATGCAACTTGAGGAACTCCCTTTAAAAAATGTATTTTTTATTATAGCTTACAAATAAATTCAATTAAAAGAATTAACAAACTCTATTACGTCTAACATGTTTAATGGTTTTTGAAATAAACTTATGACCAAAATCTCTGTAAATTTAATAATATATTGTATTATATTGTAATTAATAATTGTATTAACACTTTAAATATAAATTTTAATGTTTAGTTTTGCTATTTAATTATGAATTTATTCAAAACTCATTTTAAGTGCAATGAAATTGAAATAAAATAAAGATAACTGCCACCGAACATATAACTTTCTTAGGCCTATTTATATATTTATAATATAAATATTTGCATACACAAAAGTCAAACAAATTCTAATAAAATAAATACAATAAATAAAATACTCTCTGATCTTCTAATTAAAAATTCCATTGGAGCTAGAGCATAAATTTCTAAGAAATGAAAAATCAACTGAATAAATTCCAATTAAATATCCCCATTCCAGGCATGGTTCTACCGTTTCTGTGGACCCGAAACAGTCACCCTTTTCGCTCAGTGTGCCCTCGGGGTGGCTTCTGGTAGACCTCGCTTGTGGCCGGGTACGTGAGCCCACAACGTGGCCAGCTTTGCTTCCTGCCGCCCGATCCTCGACAGAGCCGGGGCCCAGTGTCCTGTGGCGCGGAAGGTCCTGCGAAGGGTTGTCAACGGCGAGTGGGAAACACAGGCTACACAGTACAGACTACAAAATACAAAATAAAATATAATAAAAATACAGCGACACGGGGGCCGAGGGGCGGCGATTGGCAAATGAAACTCGAATGAAATAAAATTAAATGCGTTGCACAAGTTGCAAATGCGAGCGAGCAACAATCAAAAGGATTCACGCTGCGTGTCCTGTTCCTCGCTGTGAAAAATGTAATTTTAATCGAATTCACTCACCCCTTTTCCCGCTTTTCCCTGTCCCCTGTCCCGCCATAGTTTTCCTTTGCCCTCCAAGTGCTAACCGTATTAGAGCAACTAAGTCCCGATCCTTCCCTGATTTGTGTTGTGCCAACAACAGTTGCCGAGTTGTTGAGTTCCTCAGTTGAGTTGCTTTTCGGGCTTTTCGAGTTGACGCAGCAGGCGCCGCCGGAGGCCAAAGGCATTCTTCCGCGAGAAATGCAATTAACTTGGCCAACGGCAACTAACCCCCTTTTTTTTTTGTTAGCAAACGGGGGGAGGGTCTGCCAGCATCCCTCCACAATTAAAACAAAAGGCAGGAGTCGCTAATTAACATTGTTAGCATTAGCGCAGCTCGGAAAAACAAACAAAAAAGTGAGGCCAGAGTGGCCAAAAAATCGGGTGGCAGTGGCAAACTTTGACCTTTTCGGTGGTAAATCCCTTGCCAAAGTCGAACCTTCGATTCTCTGCCGAAAGTTGACTATTGCCTTAATTAATAGCATTTAGTTAAAGTTAATTCAAACAAATATATACGCACTCTGTCCCAAATAAATACAAACAAAGTAAAATAAGCCTGTGGGATTTACTTTTAATAGGTATACAAAAATATAGAACGTTTTTATAAGTTTTAAACTGTTATTCTAATATAAACTAGCCCTAAAAATTACTCACTTAAAACAGGGACTTAACAAATATGTAATTAAATATTTTTGGAACAAATTAAACATATCAGATTTCAGAAAAAATAATATTACTTTCGCAAATTACAATAATTGAAAGTGAAAAAATGATATACCAAATATTCGAGTGCCTGTCAAGTCCTGAATTTCATCCTATTTGAACAACGATTGCCCCCTTTTCTCTGCAACTTTTTCTGTGGCATCATCAGCGACATATGTAAAATTAAATATTGTTTATTGTCAGAGCTAACCCGACCTTTGGCCCCGTATTAATCAACCCAGTGTATGTACCCCGCCCCTTTGCCCCGCCTCCCCCACTTGTTTATTTATCGACTTGCCAACCGTTTTGGCACTCGGATTCCCCCCTTTATTTTTGTACTTTTTGGTTTTTTTTTTTGGTTCGTGTGGCAGTCGCTTGTTAAACAAAAAAAAAAAGAGATACGAAAAAAAAGGGGGCAACATTTATAGCTAATTTTCTTGTCATTGTTTTGACTTTTACACCTTCGCTGCCGCGTGTTTACCTGTGAATTCGGTGGCCAGAGGTGAAAAGTGGGGATTCGGGGCACTCGAGTGGCGTCGTCGCATTGTTTGGCCATGTAAAATAATATTGTATTTGGGCTGTTTGCCTGCACAACTTGCCTAATGAAGGGGTGGAGTGGGTGGAGTGGGTGGATCGGTGGGTAGACTCTATAGAGTCCTATCAACAAAAGGGTTTGAGTGTCGGCGAAGCCCCACAAGAACATGTGAGTATTTATACTGAATACATAATATATATGCCTCATAAAGTGGCTAATCTCAAGAATTTAGTTGTATTTAAATATCTTATTTTATCAAATCAGTAAGCTCTGAACTTCAACTCTTTTCGTCGGCGGAATGTCAGGCGATCGACAGGCTCAGTTTTCATTGTTTGTTCGTCTAAACAAAACACACATATTCTCTCGGAGTTTTTTTTTACAGACCTAGTTTTTTTTTTTGTTTTGTTTTCATTTTATTAACAATTTAGTTTCGATTGAAATTGTTGCAAAATTAGCAAGTGCAAAATGTTAAAGCGATTACGCAGCCAATTGAAGAAGGCCGCTCAAAGTCTGGTGGCAAGTAAGTACATGTTGGTTATATTAAAAACGAATTGGGATTGATATGAAAAGCAGTTTTTAGCTGGGTTATTAACTAACAAATCTAGTTTACTTGTCTTCATAATGGAATCTTTCGAACAAAAACAAGTCTGGTATTGTTGTACACTACTCAAATGTCTAAGTTATAAAGGATTTTTCAAACAAAGATTAGGTTTTTAAACGTTCTGCTGATTGTCCCAATAGAAACTCCATTAAGCAAAATGCAATAAATATACAAAAATTAGGGTCTAGGTTATGCATAAAACTATTGAATTTACGGCACAACATTATTTAATAGCTTGACATTCTAAGCCTCCTTAGTTATTTGTTAAGAACTCATTTGAGTTGGCTTGAAAACACAATAAGACAAAATAAATACATAATTTAAGAATATTTTTACACTTTACAAATTAAATTCATAAAAAAAAGAAGGAGGGCATCTTCAATATTCTCGGTTGTGTTGCCATTAAAAACAAATATATTTTCTGTTTTGCTCCCAGGTCGTGAACGGGGCAGTCAAGGTCACGCTGTGTCCTGGCCGAAGGACGACCGGGGGGAGGATGAGGAGGTGGCCCAGCTGAAGGCGGAGCGTGAGCGGCGGGAGCGGGAGTATTTGGCGGAGCGGAATCGGGAGCCGTGGTTCGTGGTTTACAAGCGGCACAGTGGACAGCAGCAGAGCAGTGCGAGCAGGCGGAAAATGCCGCGTGAGCGTTTGCAGCCGCGGCAGGCCGCTCCCCCGACCCCATCCCCTGCCCCTCCCCTGCACCACCACCGCCGCCGCCCTTCGACCTCCCCCCGATGTCTCGCCCATCGAACTGTGGCGTCGGCAGCAACAGAATCAGCAGCGGCGGGAGGAGCTGCAGCGGCAGGAGGCGCAGCAACTGCAGCGGCCCAGGATCGAGCCGCTGGCCCACCAGCACTTGCGGCCACCGCAGCAGACCACCCGCCGCCCCACCACCCCCCACACCCTGGCCATGCACCCGCTGCAGAGGGCAAGGGTCATCTCGGCGCTGACCAAGAGGCAGCTACACCGCTTCCGGCAGCGCAAGTTGCTCCTGGAGGAGTTAAAGACGTAGTGGTAACCAAACCAAAAACCATCCGACAACAACAACCCAGTCATCCAAAAACCATCCGCAAACTGGAAACCCAAGAAAGCTCTAATAATCACGCAGGAATCACGCAAGAATCACCCAAAAATCACGCAAGAATCACCCAAAAATCACCCAAGACCCAGACCAGAACGACCCAAAAACAACATTAAAGCTACTTTAAAACAACATTGAAACCACAGAGAAAACACAATTGAAAACTATCCAAGAACAACCCATGAAACACCCATGAAACACCCAAGAACCACTTAAAAAACAACTTTAATACAACACAAAAATCGAACAAAAACCAATCAAAAATGTTCCAAATTACCAGAAAACCAAATGTGAAATCAAATTCAACGCAAGTCGAGGAATTGGAAATTTTCAGGAGGATGGAACAATTCAGGAACACTTTATAATACTGGATATGAGAATTCCCCGTTTTGTTTGCCAAGTTCACCGCTCACCTGAGGTCGTCCGCCTCGAACACCCTTCGCTGCCAATTGATGTTAATTTGTGTTTGATGTTGCAGCATTTGCAGTCCCAGCATTATTTTTTGGGCTCAAATATATTACACTGTTTAATTGTGTTTAATGTGCACTTATTTGTGCTTTTTTTTTAATTTTATGCGGGGTTTAATGGCATCTTAAACCGAATTATAAGTATTTAATATATGTTAGTATAGCTGATGGATGATTTTTGATTACTTAACTTACATTTTTAATGTTTCCCATTTAATTTGAATCATCAGAATGCAATTTAAGATACAATAAACCTCTTTCCGAATTTTAAACAACATAAACAAAACTTATATTGCAATTCATTTACCCACACAAATTCGAGTTGAGCCGATTATGCAACAGATAAAGATAAGTTTCTGCCCTTCAAAAGGAATATCACTTGACCATTTGAGCACTCTTCACAATTGCTATTTACATAAACACCAGGAAAAACGAGAAAATGTGACACTTGACAAATTTGTTAAAATCAGACTGGCGCCACTCTCGATTTCCGACCTGATTTATGGGCCTGTTTGTAGCTGAAAACCGAACAGCAGTTGTATGTCCGAGATCTCGATCTCGATCCAGTTTGGGATCAGGATCGGGATCAGGCCAAATTAATGCGAAGCACTTTGCAATTGAGTTGTCAAATGCGGGAAAACAAGTGGCACCTACGGGGAAATTGGAGAGTGGCAATGGTAATTGAACCCGAAACCCGAGACTCGAGACTCGAGATGGAAAACCCAAGGACCCAAAAACTGTAGCCCATTTCCAGCTTATTACTCAATCAATATGCTCATTTGTTTTTAACTGGAAGCAGTTGTTTTTGAGGATGTTGCCTGTTTTGACAGCATGCTTGGTGTAATTGGAACTCCAGTTTAGTACGAGATCCCCGATTCTCGATTCTCGATCCCCGATCCTTGATCCTTGATCCTTGATGCCCGGGGTGCTGCTTTTGGCGCGTCCTTAGTCGACGATCAATTTCCATTTGCAGTTCGATTGCCCGATGATGACTATCTGACCTACTTACTACCTGATCTACTTACGAGCCCACGACAGCTGTTCAGATTTGGCAACTGTCGTCGGTGCCTTATTGTCCTTTATCGAAAGGTTTTCCACAACTGTTTCTGCTCCAGTTTGTACACTTAAACAATTTTAGAAATAAATATATATTTCGTTTTAAAATTTATCAAATCAATTAAAAGAAAATTATAACATTTTTGTTTTTAAGATGGACCATTTAATTTATTTTTTGGAATTTCTCGCTTGCTTTTTATACTGTTTTTTAATCCAGATTGTAGTATCACATAATTTGTATTTCTGACATTTATAAACATTTTATAATATACTTTAAATTAAGTTTGGAGTGACTTGTATTTAGCTTAAAATAAACAGACTTAAACCGAAATTCTAAATGAAAAGAGAAAGGCTAGTAACAAAAAACCATAAATGACCTTTAAAAAAAATAAAAAAAGGGAACATGATGGTGTTAAAAATGTAAAGATACATTCCTTTACTAATAATCTAATAGTTTCTTATTGGTTTTAATATATAATATATATTTTACTGTCTCGCAAGTGAGGGACAAGCAGTTGCTGGGCTAGTTTTTTGTTGAGTGTACGGCTGCCCTTCATGTCATCCTCGTTTCAGGAGGCAATTAGCCCGGCATGAGGTCCTCGGAATCAGCTGTGGATAAGCAGCCTGCTCCGGGAACACCACATGCTTGACCACTGGGTGCCCTGGACAAATTGGCTCGGGGTCCGGCGAGGAGTTTGCAATCTGGATGGGCAATAATCACGACTTGACCGCGGAAGTGACCAAAAGGCAAGGGCGCATGCGCGGCGGATTAGCAGGGGCTTCCGAGGGGGGTTTTGTGAGGGGGGTTGTGGGAAGGAGAAAGAGAGATCGCATTGTCCGCATCACGGACCGCCTGGAATGAAGCTGTTAGCGACTTTGGGCATCATAATTAAGGTGTCGTAATTGCCGCCCCTGAGACATGGAATTAGTGCCACGGCACGGAGTCCCTCCAGACCCTCGCAACCCCCTCCCCCCATCCTATAAACCAGTTCAAACACCACTGCTCGAAAAAAAAGAAAAAGAAATAGAAAGAAAAAGAAAACCCAACAGCTGCAGAACTCAACCTCAATGCCAACCGCCGACAAAGTTGCCATTGTTGGAAACTTTATCAACATGCAAATACGAAATTCCAAATCCCATTCACCATTCAGCATTCGGCGGAAAGAGACGGAGCATCGCGGAGCGAAAGAGACGGCTGGAGATTAGGCGACGGTCACCAAGTGGCCGGAAACTCATCGGATGAATGGCGCAGGAACTCCAAGTGGAGTCGACATTGAGTCGAGGGCTCCATCAAATGAAATACAATTTCCACCGGCAATTGAGGCCCAGCTAAGCGGGGAATCCCCTTTAAAAAGGTTCAGAAAGGCAACTATATAAAATGGTTCACAAAATATACTGTTCTCTGTGTTTTTCTATTCTATATCTAGAATAACTAAAATCTAAGCATATTGACTAAAATACGGAAAAATGGAAACTATATTTTGTAATAATTGAGAATATTTTACATTGTATTTTCTTAAACATTATATATTTATCATTTAATTGGTTCAAATTATAATCTACTTATTACAAATAGAAAACAAGAGTTAATGTTTAATAAAATATATTTGTTTAAATTATTGTTGAAGTCTCTCTTAAGTCTTTTTGTTTCCTTACATAAATTAATTTTTAATTCTAAGTATCTTAAATTAGGGATTACAAATACTCTAATTTCGGTTTTCATTATAACCCCAACCAATTTAATATATATCTGCCATATTCCATAGTTTTCGATGGAAAGCTTTTCCTTGGGAAATGCCTTTTTGCGACTTTTCAGTTGAGTTCACTCCTGGTTCCAGTTTATTTTCCCATTCTATTCCCCTGCAAAATCCCGGCATATCTCTCTATTTTCCCGGACTTCTAAAATGTGCCATTTGCCACGGGCCAAGGGAATATATATTTTTGTATCGCACGGCCAATTTGATGACATTATTACGGAAAACTGCACAAATGTGTCGAGTGGAGTGGACCGACTAGACAGCGACGAAGGACATAGAGGACCCAGAGGAGTGTCCTTTTTGCCAGCGTTCTTGGCATGTGTTGCTGAGCATGAAAATTGCAATTTTTCGCCAGATAATCCAGGGACCCAGGAACTGAACCCCAGGAATCGGGGAACAATGCCGCAATGTTGCTCGGCAATTGGCAATTGGGTGAGTGGCAATTGATTCGTTGCACCATCAGCCTCGTCCTGCGAATGTATATGGATCCTTTTTCTAGCATTTTTTCCCTGTCATTTTGTGGGGTCGACCGCAGTCGTTTGGCCACAGCGTGCAGTCCCAGTACATATAGTAATCCCAGTCCATAGACCAATATATCCAACATATCCCATCGATCGCAGCGTATCGAAAGGCTGGACAATACAGAAATTCTGCAACTGCATTTGCAACGCTTTGCCGGAGGTGTGATGTCTGTGCTCCCAGATCGGTGATCATTATTGTCATTATCTGAAGTGCTAAGTGGTCGCGTGTGACCAATTTTCAGCTGGCCATCGGCAAATGGCGGGATTATCTGGTTAGATTGGGATAATATAACAAACCGAGTGAGTTGTCAAGCGAAAAATGTTGTACAATATTGAAAAGATTAATATTTATTGGGCAATTCAGCAATTATCACTACAGTTTATTTTATGCATCGAAATTAATCATTATTTGAGGGTTTTATTTTCAATTGACTATTGAAAAAGTTACCTATTTTGTTTTTAATTTGTATACACTTTGTGGGCAGAAGTAAATAGAGTTTTATTTGTCTCCCAACTTTGCTGATTTTTATACACTTTGTGAAGAGTAAAAAGGGTTTTATTATTGAAGTATATTAATGAACATCACAGTTATCATTTAAATTAAAAATATCATATATCGACTATTTCGATGTCTGTTTAATTTATTGAAATGCAATGCCCCCAAGCACATCAATTTTTCTCGCTTTTAATTACAAGCTTACATTAACCTTAACCAACAATTCGTTATTCTTGGTTTTTAATTGTTTTTTATTTATTAATTTTAACATATTTGAACTCAGTGGTCAGATGTTTTGCAGTCAGCGGATGAAACTTACTTTAATTATTATATTTGCTATTAAATTCCGAAAACACCTGCCGTCCAAGTTTGACTTCTGCCTCTCCAAATTGACTTGTCCATCGGTGGACTGAATATTCTGTGTACATTTTCCTCAACTGCGTTTGGCTTTACATCTATTCGGGCTAAAAAATAGAAGAGGAAATGAAATGACCGGAAGTTAAATCAAACCAACTTCAAATGTCCGAAAATTGCCGAGAAATTCGAGACCAGAATTGAAATTCGTCGCATTCCGAACACGTAACAAACTAAGCCAAATTCAGTTGGCAATACAAATACAAATACAAATACGTTGCTGTTGACCTTTTGCGAATAATTCAAATAAAATTTACACCTTTGAGCCAAACGGAAGGGGGGCGGTGGTGCGAGGGGGGCGTGGCCATTGATGGACTGACCAAAGGACTGCAAGCGGAAATCCTTTTTCAATTTTATTTTTCACAAAATGCACACTCACACACTGCCGAAATATATCAGCGATTTTAGCTCGAGATCTACTTGAATTTGGCTTAACGAAAGTCAAAATACAAATAAATTAATGAAGAGAAAAATAATAATTTAATAGCTTAAGCATTTTATATTTATACTTGGAAACTAAAATAAAGACAGCTTTTTTTCTCTCTGTGCAGACACACAGCTGCTGCAAGTTATTGCCGAAATATAAATTGAGTCTTGGCCACTGAAGTTGATTATGGTCTACGCCTCAGCGGATCTCGGCCAACAAATTTTCTCGATTCGGTTGAAAAATCAACACCAAGCTGGCCTCCCAAAAAAGGAAAGGGGGCGGGGCTGGTCATGTGTGTGTGGGCCATCCTTCTTCCCCTTTTCCGAACCCCTTTTTTCCGACCTTCTGCCTTTTCCTTTGGGCCAATGTGTCTGGCCTAAGCCCTGCGGCTCACATATCAGCGCGCATTAAA